CTGTTCCTGCTCCAAAAACATTACTGGAAGCTTCCCGTTGTTCTTGCAGGTGCCACACAAACGCGAGGGGCCTCTCAGGCCTGCTGTCCACGCTGAAGTCCATGCTTCTGTCAGAGAACACAGTGGGCGAGCCTGCAGAACCCCCCACCCCCACCCTGAGTGCCTGCACCAACTCCAAGGCGGCTGGGCTGGGGCCAGCTGCACCCAGGAACTCGGGGCCCCTCCTAAGGCTACGCCTGGAGGTGGTTCCTGGCCTGGGAGTGAGGGCTTTGCCCGAGGCGGGCTCTCTCCCTAGCTGCCTGCTGCTGCAAAGCACCATGGGCGATGCATTTCCCAGCAGAGCTCATTAGAGCTGGCCCAGAGCCCAAAGCAGGGAACTCGCGAGACAGCCCAGGGTTAGGCTGGACACCCAAGATAGCCCAGGGTTAGGCTGGACACCCGAGACAGTCCAGGGTTAGGCTGGACACCCGAGACAGCCCAGAGCCCAAAGCAGGGAACTCGCGAGACAGCCCAGGGTTAGGCTGGACACCCGAGACAGCCCAGGGTTAGGCTGGACACCTGAGACAGCCCAGGGCACCACCACCTTGGATGACAAGCCTGGGCTTCCTCAGCCAGTGAGTAATAAGAAATTAATCTCTAGAAGAGCCCTCTCCTCCTGGCTGGCAGGGAAGGGACAGGATGATGTGGGGAGGCCTACTGGGTGGTACCCGGAAGAGGGGCCAGGAGGCGGGGCTGGGGAGGGGGGACGAAGCTGGACCGGGCTGGGGCTGGCGGAGGCTGGCTGCCAAGGGCAGTGAGCTTCAGCCCGGAGCCGTCTTCTGTACAAGTTGGCCCAGCAGCTGCTGAAAGGGAGGGCCTTGGAACTTCCGTCCCCTCCCCACACTGTCTCGCCCGAGGCTTATTTCCTCGTTCTTCATTGGCCCCTGAGCGAATAAGTAAAAATCACAAGCGCTGTGCCAATCGCGGGCCTGCTGGGTGTGGTGTTTGCACTGCTATTCATTCCCTCCTGCTAACAGCTGAAACAACTTCTCTGCTGAGCGGTGCATCTGCTCGTTAGCTGTTCCCAGCCAGCGAAATGCGCCTCTCTGCAGCCAGACAACGCCGCACACTGCACGCGGTTTCAGCCGCTCAAACTGCGTCCTCAGCTTTGGTGGGTCAGCATAAACCTCTGGGGGTGTGCCGGGGCCTCTAGAACATTCTGCTGGGCTCAGCCATCGTTTCAGTAAGCCCCGGTGGAGAGCGGCATTTGTCCTCCACATGGGCCGGCCGCGTGGATTGTTCTAACCGGCGCTTCTGGAGGGCGAGCCCGTCAGCAGGCCTGCCCCGCTGCTCTCCCGTGCGCTGTTTCTACAGGCCTGCTCTGCTGCTCTGACAGGCGGACGCTGGTTCTGTGGGACTTTGGTTTCTGAGGAGGTTGTGGACCGTGTCTTTTCTGTCCCTCCAGGATGTGCTGGTAGGAGGTGCCTCTCACTTCCCTTAGCTCTGAAGGCTTCTCTGTCCCGGACCTGGCAGGGGCCGCCGTATCTCCCCCAACCAGGATTAGCTGCTGCTGGTTTTGTTGAGTACTGCCTGTTGTGTTTAAGGTAGAGCAGGGACTATGTAGCCTGGAGCAAGCCTGCTCCTGCCCGCTGCCTCCAACCACCCAACCCTCTCACCCCGGGCACCTGTGCCCGCTCCCTTCTCTGAGCTCCCAGAGCCTGGCTCCCACTCTGCTCTGTTTCAGCAGAGCACAGAGAGGGGCTTGCATCCTGCCGTGTTCCCCATCAACGCATAGCCAGCCTCCCCGCTCCTCCCTTCCGGCTGTAGAGAGCCACTGTGGCTCAGCGATGTCAGCTGTGGGGGTTTCCAGCCGGCGCTCTGGCCTGGACTCTTAGAGAAGTCAGCCCTAGCTTCAGCCCAGCTTCTGGGTTCCAATTTGAAACCTGCGCCTGTCTGGCCCTCACTGCCCAAGCATTCGTTGAACACCTACTATGTGCCGTGGCAAACCACTGTGGCCCACTGTTCGCAGGTGCTGGTTCTTACCCATTATGCCACAACGCCAGACCCTTGTTTCTTTAAAAAAACCACCTAGGGCTCGGGTTCTGTGGGAGGGAAACTGCCGCTGATGGGACTGCCGGAGGCTCCAGCAGTTTTCCCCTACAGGCGGTCCCCAGAGTACAGACTCCTCTGTGAGGGGCGCAGAGTGGGGTTCACTGCAGGACCCGTGTCAGGCCCGTCTTCACCTCCGACCTTCTTGCCTTTCCATGATTCTATCTTCCCTCTCCTCCAACTGGCAGCCCTGGCCCCAGAGGTGCAAGCTGCTGCTTCCTCCTGTGGAGCCCACTACTGCGCGTCGTCCCGGTGGTCTCTGCGGCTGCCCCTCCCCCCTCCCACTTTCTGTCATCCGCAGCTCTGAGGCGGGGAGTCCGCCCCATTCCAGGCTGTGTTTAGCCTGGTGTGGCCGGCAGAGCTGAACATCAGCCTGGGGCTCACAGCGAGGGCTGGGCAGCAGCCCCCGTCTCCCGGAGACGTGGGCAGGAGCTGGGGCCTCCTCGGCCTCTGGCCAGCACCCGGGAGCTTTTCTGTCTGTTTTCGCAGCTTAGCAGAGAGGCCCAGGCTGTTGTAAATCAGCCAGGCTGGGCAGAGGCTTGGAATTGCAAAAAACTTCCTAACAGTGAACCCCGTCCACACCAGCTGCCCAACTTGAGGGTCCCAGTGCGAGATGAAGACACAGGACCCCTTGCTTAAACACAGGAAGAGAAGTGCGTTGAAGGCACTAAAGCACAAAGCATTGTCCTTTCCTTCCTCCCACCATCCCTCTCGGCCTGTCCTGTAGTGTACTTGCTATTTAACCTTGCACTTCCTTGGAGTTCACAGACACTCTAGGGCAAGTGCAGATCCTCACGGGTCAGGGGCCTTGCTCCATAACTGAGCTGCTGGGCTGATGCTGTGTCCTGGGGGACACTAGCTTGCTCAGGGAGGAGAAGGAGAGGGTGGGCAGGAGGGGCCTGCAGCTCCTGGAAGGCAGAGGGGTGGGCAGGCAAGACCCTGTCCCTGGGAGGGAGACGGGACCACACCGGAGCTCAGCCCTTTTACCGACCATGGTTGGGGGGCCACCGGGGGTGGCCTGGCCAGCAACTCATTAGGACTGGGAAAATAATAGCATTTCTCAAATACAGGATGGAGGGTTTTAGTTTTTTCTTTCTAGTGGAATAGAGCTTACTAATGACTGGAAAGTTGAGCTGTGCAATGCAGAAATAACATGGCCATTTCATGGGTTGTCCAGCAAAGTACAGGCCAGGTTTAAAAGAGAAGGCAGAGATCTACGCTGCACCCAGGACTCTCCTTGTGGTTCCTGGGGAGAAATGGCCTCTCTGAGAGTCTGGCCACCAGTGGCGGGAGCGGAATGTCTTGGCATCTGGCCCTAATGATGTGTGTAGCACTCAAGTCGGTAGCCTCTTGCTGATCTGCTGGACCGCCCATGCTTTATCATACCCACCTTATAGAAAGAGAACGGAGGCCCAGAAAAGTTGGATAAGCTGCCAAAGATCCTGCAGCAAGTCTGTATCTATAGACTGGACTATGGTTTGAGTCCAGCTTTTTAAACCAGAAGTTGGACGTGTGCTGTCTCCTGACACATCCACGCGGGATCCAAGTATGCGCAGTGGTCGAGTAGACGCCGGTACATTGGAACAGCTCAGGGTGCCCTAGTGATTGGTGTGTGGCATAAACACTGGGAATCAGAACTGGAGGGAAGGCTGCCCCCCAGAGCGGACAGGCCTGACGGCCCAGACACTCTCCCTCACATCCCAGACGATGGTGTTGCGTGTCCGGTGTCTGTGCTGTCAGCTGAGCCCTGGTGACAGGCAAGGAGAGGCATCCTGGGATGGAGTGGGAGGCTGAGGGGCAGGTGGCATCACCCAGCCACACACGAACAAGGCTTGAGCCCCACCTTGAGGGTTCTGTGCTGGACCCCAGGGGCAAAGGGTCTGAGCTGGCAATTCCTGTCTGTGTTAGACGCTGGCTTTGCTCAGAGGGAAGCCAAGGCCAGTATCTGGGGAGGAGGAGGAGGAGAAGAGAAGGCAGCCAGCCACAGAGACACCAGTGGAGATGGGCAACATGGCTGGAGTCCCAGCACTAGAAGTCCAGGCTGCAGGCCAGACGCACTGGTGGAGCTCAGTGCTCAGAGACGCCACAAGGGGGAGCAGGAGAGCAGAACCCCAGCAGGGAGGGAAGCTGAAACCTCCCTTGCACAGCAGAGCCAGGAGCCACATGGGGCTATTTAAACTAATGGAGACGAAACAACTCCGTTCCTCAGCCTCATTAGCCACAGGTCAAGGAATCGATAGTCATCTGTGGCCAGTGGCCGCCAGATTGCACAGTGCTGACATGAGACATTTCCATCCCTGCCTTCCTACTTGAATGTAAACTGCCTGACATGCTTAGCATCCACATTGAGTTAAATATGATATGCGATTAAATATTAGCATCACCTCTCTTCTTTCTTTCGCCAACAGAACTTGTAGATTATCTGTGCTTCTACTGGGCATTGCTATCACAGGTGGACACAAAGAAGCCCCTCCACGTACTCACATTCATTCCTTGGTATCCAGTTGCATAATGGCTATAGAAACCCTTTCTCACCAGTAAAGGTGACAGAGGCAGCCCAGGGTAAAGGGACAAGTACAGCTCCAGAGCTAGGAAAACCCGACTTCAAAATCCCAGCTCCGACCCCTACTACCGTTACAAAATTGTATGTATGTTTTCTCACATGAAACAGTGCCATCAGAAAACGATCCCCACATAGCCTTGTTTAGAACATTCTGGGAGAGGCTGCATACACACAGGGACCAGCTAGGCCTGCTCCTAGTGAACCTCAGTATATGGCTATTGTTAGCCCCAGCCTTTTTAGTATGGCAGTGTTGGGTTCGTGGCCTCAGCCTACTCACGACACCCCCGCCCCCCAGCCTGAGCTTGCCTGCTCAGTCCTCGGCCAGGCCCTGGGCACAGCCGGCACTCACCTGCTGGCAGCTGCTGGCCCAGGAGGCCTGGAGGGCGCCCCAGCCCCCCGAGCGCTGGGCCCTGCTCTCCAGGTGCGCCCGCAGTTGTGTCTCCAGCTCCTGGCTGACTTGCTCGAGGGCATGTATCTTGGCCATATATTCCACCAGGCAGCCTCCCAGGTCCTCCACAGAAGTGTGGCTTCTCTCCAGACCCGAAGCAGGCACCGTGGCCAGGCCTGAGCTCCGCAGGCCCTGCAGGAAGACGCTGCTAATGCCCAGGGCCCGGCGGGTCACCCGGGCACCCAGGCCGCCTATGCTGGGTGCCGTCCCCACATAGACCCCAGGTGCCCGGACAAGGCCACCGGCGGCATTGGTCCTGGAGGCTGGGGGGCTCTCCAGGGAGGATGACGCCCGTGTGCCCCTGAAGGACACCCTGCGCCTCTGGAAGGGCATGCTGGAGCCGGCACTGGTGGAAAGACCACTGCCACTCACGGCTTGCTTGGCACTGTCCTGCCTCTGAGGTGTCCAGCGGCTTCAGAGCCCAGTGGCTTTTGGTTCCCAGTCCCAGCCTCCCTGTGGCCTGGTCACGGGCCCCTCTGGAACTGCCCCGTCCCTGGGGTGGCTTTGTCTGCTGCCTTCCATGAGCTTCCATCATTCACTGAGCTGAAAGAGAAACGGGCCACGCCCAGGGCTGTGTGCAGAGATGCGCTCATGCGTTCTGTGATGCGGGGTCATGTGCCTGGCCGCCTAGATGCTTCTGCTGGTGGTGGGGGAGGCTGGGTCAGTAGAGGCTGTGGGGGTGGCCCTTTGGCTTTGTGTACTTCATTGCCTAAGGCAGGGCAAGGCAGGCACTGGGCAGCTCTGTTCCCAGATGAGCACACCGACTCAGGGCCCACAGACCATAAGCTGGGACTCATGGGCCAACTTCATCCCAGCGTGTGCTGCAAGTAGGCAAGAGTGAACATGGATGTCAAGTAGCCACGGCAGGAGGCAGCCCCAGCCTGTTGCTTCCTCCACACCCCTGCCCCCAGCCCCAGCAGCAGCCTCAGTTCCCTCCCTGGCTTCCCTCCTCACCTCTGCCCTCTCAGACTCCGCAGGTCACCTCACTCCACCTCCCTTACTCTCCACAGTCTCAGCTCTAACTCTGATGCAGAGGACCTGGCCTCTCGAGCAAGTCCGCATGCTGCGCCTGTTGCACTGTGGCTGGTCCTTACACCTGCAGCCCTGGTAAGCTCTCCAGAAGTGCTCCCTCCATTAGGACTTGATGAGACCCCTGGGTCTTCGTTCCTACCCCCAGCATCCACTAAGTCATGTTGCCAAAGGTCACACCTTGACAACTTCCCCAGGATCACAGGGGTTCCTGCAGCCCCAGGGATGAGAGTGTTTTACCCCGGAAAAAGCAGGCCACTGAGCTGCAGAGCTGGATTTTATCCCAGATCCTGTGGGAATACGCCTGAAGCCAGACACAGGGGCTGGAGCCAACGTCTCGTGTGTGCGGAATCCACCCCTGCGGAATCCATACCCACACTTCACTGCATTTCCCAGGTGAACTGAGGGGTAGGCACAGGGCTGATGTGCACTGCACAGCTCCAGAGGATACTGTCACATGTCCCACAGCTGCCTGTCGCGCCCTCACGAGCAGCCTGAGAGCTGACCTGCCCACATCTCCACGTCTGCAACGCAGCAGAGCCAGCGGGAAGAGGCCTCTCGTGGTCCCAGGGCCAGCGACTTGTTGAGGACCTCGCGTCAGTTTTTTCATACCACAGTAAAAGAGCTGAGACGAACTGATCCTGAGGGAGAGGCTGAAGGCGCAAGCCGCTGGATGTGGGCTCTAGATTCTGCCCCGGGGCGGGGGCTGAGCCTGTGGGGAGGAGGCTCACACCACCGGTGAGCCAGGAAGCAGTGTGAGGCCGGGCCTGATAGCCTTGGCAGCAGCCCTCTGGAAGAGGTAACTTCTTAGGGCAGGCCCTCAGTGACCCAAGGACCCCACTCCAGGCCCCAGATCCTAAACACCATAACTAGATTAAGTTTCCACTCTCGTAGCACCACTAATTTATGTGGGCTTAAAATGACTTTGGGAGCCAAATCCTATTCAAATCACAGTGGTCTCTGTCTCTCACCTACCCAAGGTCACACGGGCAAAGCTGAAAGTCCTGGCCACCTCCTGGAATATTCTGTGTGTGCTTCATTTTGCTGATTAGGAGACCACACCCGCCCTTTTCTCCCTCTTCCTGCGTGGTCTAGTTGGGATGTTACAGAAGGTACTTTTTATAAAGCCGTGCTGGGTATTTGTTCAACAAGTTTGGAAACCCACTGGGCTAAGCAGAGGTAGGCAACACCCTTGTTTACTCAGACAGGAACTCTGACCACACCCCTAGTGGAGCTGAAAGGGCGCAGGATCCACGTGGGACGTCCTCCTGACTGGGTCTTGTCCAGGGCTTCCCAAAGGGTTCAAACTACTGATCAGGCTGTTTGCAAAGCTGTCACGCCTGCCCTGTTACTCTACGGAATGGGAACACCAAGTGGCCAGGTTAACTTCACATTTCCCAGACCCAAACACAGGTACCGTAAAACACAGAGACCTGGGGAGGGAGAATGAGAAGCGGGTGCACCTTAATCGACACCCATGTCTCTGAAGACCTGAAGGGAGGGGGTTCTCTTATGGAGAAATCAAAGACATATTCTAAATGATTTGTTTTATCAGATTATAAATTGCTAATCTTATTATCTTATTATACTAAAAAACCTAACTTCCAGTAAAAAAAATACAGACAGACATAGGTGGTGTTGGTACTGCTTAATGAAGACTCAAAAATTATTTTTAAAATGAAAAAAATGCAAAAGGTATTAGCAACTTAATCCTCTGGGTAATAAAATAAGTTTATTTATATATACACGTTAGCTGAATTCTAAGGGTAAAGAAAAATAAGTCATACATCACATTTGTATATATAACATATGTATCTGATTACATATATTATATATAATTATACTTTACAAACAGATTTCTCTCCATATATACTCATACACATTGATAATAGTAGATGCAATTGCTAACAGAAATAATATGATAAGGTTAAACTGGTCCGACAGCAACATGTTAGAAAATAAATCCCAAGTGACACTGGACTTGCTTCTTTGTGGGCTGAAGTGACAACAGTTGCACTCACAACATTGAGAACACACAGTGTTGAAGGCCATCTCTTTCTTAGTAAGGAAAATGTAGGAAGGAAAAACATGATAAAAAGACCACAGCAACAACACAAACATGTGAACCAACATTCAAGTTCAACTCCCAGTCTGTCAGAACATCTATCTTGAAAATATACTATCAAACCATTTTCTTTTAGAGGAAAGAAGCATCGGAGCAGTTCTCTCTCCAAGCCAGCAGCTATTAGGGAAAACAGAGCAGCAGCCACCCCTGGAAGCTCCTACTGTGTTTCTGCGGGTCTGACCCATTGGCACCAGCCCACAGGGATGAGGGACAGCACGGGGTGGGGGTGAGAGGCCGGCAGGTCTTCAACACCAAGGCGAGCAGACTAGCGCTCCTCCTATGCCAGTCACTGTTCTAAGATTGCAGGAGGAAGGTTTCAAAAACTACAGCTTTAGACTTCCCAGATAAGCATGTTCTCCAGGGGTCACCTTGGCCTTTGGAGGAAACAAGCCTAAACCACAAAGAACATCTGATCCTTGAAGGAGGACGGGCATTCTAGGGTTCCAGGGCTGGGATCTGCGTCTAATCCCCTCTGAGACAAGGACGCACACGGGTCCTGGGGCAGACGCAGGGAAGTGCTGAAGGGGTGCCGCCTCCTGCCGAGAACAGGCAGTCCCGAGTCGGCACGGTGGAAGCTCTCTGCCCTGTGATGTCGGGGAGATGTGGCCTTTGGATGCCAATGTCCCCCACAACCCCTGAGGGTTGCCTTCCATCCGCCACCTGGAACGAACTTGACTTCCAGTGGTGCAGAGGTTCCTTCCTCTGGGGGCTGTGCAGTTCCTTTTTCTGCTTTGTGCCTGACTCTGCCATCTCCCCCAGCAGGCCCAGCTGCCTTCTCCACTGTGCGAACGAGGAGGGAGGAGCTGGGTTACAGCAAACCAAGAGGAAGCCGTGCTTTCAGAATCACTCCAAGATCTTACACTTGGTCATTTAACATTCAGCGGTTACAGTAGGTCCGTCTCTTACCTCACCTGCTTAGTGTTCACGAACAGTTACTCAGAGAAGCAATCAGTGCAACTGCTTTGCTTAGAAATATCTTTATTTTATAAAGCCACAGATCATTCTGTAAAGTTTTTTTTTTAAACCACACTTATAAAAAAGATGTTGACAATTCTTAGGAAAAAAAAAGCTGAAAATGTTTCTCATTTAAGTCGGAATTACACAAAGGTTATATTTATAATATATATATTTGTGTATTTATAATTTGGAGATGAAAATAGGGACTGGCAAAGCAGAGGCTGCTGCAGTCAGATCTCGGACACTTGATCGCTTCCCACGAACAGCGTTTCCTGACAGAAGGGGTTCACGAGGACCATCCCGGCGTCCCGGTAGTCGCCGTTGGCTGGGGAGCGGGGCTCCGAGAGCTGGTCCTGGAGGGAGACACAGGTGGCGTGAGCGCGGAGGCGGCTGTTCTTGCACAAGCGCGCGCGGGCATTCACTCAGCCTGGCGCTGCGTGCTCACACTTCCGCCATCCGCACCATCAGGGCTAAGGTGCAGAGCCCTCTCTGCTCTTCCAGAGTTCCACAGCCGCCTCCAAAAAACGAAACAAAACCAAAAAAAGGTTTCCTATCCTTAAGGTTTCCTATCCTTACCCTTTGTCGGGGTCTGAGGGGGGCTGGCATGCACGACCGCCTCCCGCCTCTTTCTCAGGGACCACTGGGAGCCTCACTTCCTTCCTCAGCACCCTGTGCTCATCCACTGCCTCCTCGCCTGCCATCTGCCCGTCAGAGGCCCACAAACCTATCAGATGCAAATCTCTGTGTGATGCATAACAGGAGAAAAGCCACCTGGATGGCGGCAGGGCTACGGTCTCAGCTATCAAGGACTGGGAGCATGTGGGGGCCACCAAGTGGCTGACAGATTCAGACCCAAGTCTTAATTTAGGAGGAGGAAAGAAAAGCCATAGCTTGTTCCAGTTCTAAACAACTCAACTCACAGCCTCTGGGCCACTGCAGAGCACCGACTCGATGACAGATCTAGCTCACACCAGAGCTGCTTGGAAAGGTCTTCATTTTGGGGGGCTGGCACTGTGGCATAGCAGGTAAAGCCTCCGCCGGGGGCACGGGCATCCTAATGGTGCTGGCTGAAGTCCTGGCTGCTCCTCTTCCAATCCAGCTCTCTGTTACAGCCTGGAGATGTCCCCACCCCTGAGAAAGCAGTGGAAGATGACCCAAATGCTTGGGCCCCTGCACCCACATAGACCCAGAAGAAGATCCTGGCTCCTGATTTTGGATCGGCCCAACTCTGGCTGTCACAGCCATCTGGGGAGTAAACCATTGGATGGAAGCACTCTCTCTGTCTCTCCCGTAAATAAATAAATCTTAAAAAAAGAAAAGAAACGTCTTCATTTTAAGCCACAATTATCTTTAGCTTATTTTTAAACAAAACACAAAATGTTTATGAGGAGTAGTACTTATTGCTCTACAGATCATGAGGAGGGAAAAGGAGAAATGACACTGTCGATAAAATGTTTTCTTAGGAGACAGAAATTCCTGCAATGCCTGGACTGGCTGAGTGCCCTTCAGGAGGGCGGACGTGGGGCTAGCCTCGGAACTCAGAAACTGGGCAGCACATCAGAGAGCGGGCCTCCGTCCGTCTCCGCCGTGCGTCCGGGCTGAGCCGTGGTAGGAATTTGGTGGCCTGCCATTTCTGTTTGCACAAAGGAAGTGTTCACCGAAGGTGAGCCTGGTGGGTGTATTTCACTGTGTAAAAGAGAAATAATCAGGGAAAAACAAAGCAGACAGACAGGGAAAGGAAGCAAGCGGGGAGGAGGAGGGACGGGAAGAAGAACGGAGAAGTCCGCGAGACCGCTAGGCGTCACAGCTCTGCCCGTGCAGAGCCGTTTCCGTTCTGCCGCTGCCATCAGCACACCGGCGCAGGCGGCAGAGCAACTCGCTTAGGCAAAGCATCTGGCAGCTCCAGTGCTGCTGGGTGAGGAGCAGGAGTGCCGAGAGCACATCGGAGGGCGCAGCGCACGGTGGAACGCGGCCCCGGGCCCGGTGACAAGGCCACGGCTGGTTTACGACGCGCGTGTGTCCCCAGCCATCTGCATCCTGCCTGAGATGCCAGCCTTTTCCCTCAAATAGCACTGTGTCCTAGAGAGAACAGGCTGCAGCATCGCTCTAAATAACGCAGAACGAGAGGGGCACACTGCTGGGGGCCACACTGGGCTCGGGGCGCGGGCAGTGCCTCCATCAGAGCCTCTGGCTCGTGGCAGCCTGCCGCTGTGTCAGCCTCATCGACGCGGACACTCCACAGACAGGGCTTCTTCCGCAGTGTGCCTCGGGGTTCCACTTAGCAGTGTGCAACAAGAACAGGAGAAAAACAGGGCTCTGGGGTTCGTGGCCCATATCCAGTTGGGGCCAGCCTCTTCTCTAAGTTATACATTTTACTACACCAGTTCTCAGGAAGACTTTTTGCTAATAGGAAGCTTGTTTCCACCTCTTTTTTTTTTTTTTTTTTTTTTTTTGCTTTGAGAGAGAAAAGGAGACTAGGTAGAAGCAGTAAAAGAGAGGAGTTGGAGAGGGGGAGGAGAGACAGACAAAGACAGAGAGCTCCTGTCTGCTGGTTCATTGCCCAAATGCCTGCAACAGCCAAGGCTGGCCCAGGTTGAAGCCAGGAGCCAGGAACCCAATCCAGGATGTCTATGGTAGGGACGCGAGCCATCACTTGCTATTCTCCCAGGGTCTGCATTAACAGGAAGCTGGCGTCAGCACTCAGAGCTGTATATTTCAAACTCAGGCACCACGATGTGGGACAGGGGCATCAGGGTCTTAACTGCTAGGCCAAATGCCTCCCCCTGAGTTCAGATCTGTGTAGCAGGGCACTGGACTGGGTGGGGGGTACATGTATAGCTCATTCCCTTGATAATCATTATCAAGTAGCTGCCCTGTGCCAGGCACTGTTCTAGGCTCTGGGGATGGAGCAGTGAACTCAACAGTTTCTGTTCTAGCAGAGGAGCCAGATCACAGACTGGCCACCAGGGGTCAGCAACTCAGTGTGGGCGGTGACAAGTGCTCTGAAGGACAACCTAGTGGGCAGGGGACAGGGATGAAGGTAGGGCTCTAACCAACACAGGGCAGGGGACGGGATAAAGGCGGGGCACTAACCAACACAGGGCAGGGGACAGGGATGAAGGCGGGGCGCTAACCAACACAGGGCAGGGGACAGGGATAAAGGCGGGGCGCTAACCAACACAGGGCAGGGGACAGGGATGAAGGTAGGGCTCTAACCAACACAGGGCAGGGGACAGGGATAAAGGCGGGGTGCTAACCAACACAGGGCAGGGGACAGGGATAAAGGCGGGGTGCTAACCAACACAGGGCAGGGGTCAGGGATAAAGGCGGGGCGCTAACCAACACAGGGCAGGGGACAGGGATGAAGGTAGGGCTCTAACCAACACAGGGCAGGGGACAGGGATGAAGGTAGGGCTCTAACCAACACAGGGCAGGGGACAGGGATGAAGACGGGGCTCTAACCACACAGGGCAGCCAGGGAAGACCTCCAGCCTCAGCCGGCGTCCCAGCCTCACATCACCCCCCCCCCCCTCCATTTGCTAAGCTCTGACCACAGTGAGTTTCGTGCTGCTCATTCCCAGCACTGAGTACATCACACCGGGCGCCAGGAGAAAAGCGTCTCAGGTAGGTGTAAGAGCCCAGCTCCAGGGTGTGGATTTCTTGGAGGAAGGGCAGAGAGGCCGCGTGGCTTGGGTCAGTGATCGGGGTCTGGAAGGTGAGCAGGTGCCGGCTCCTGAGGAGTGTGGGTTTCACCTGTGAGTTGGGGCTGAGATGGACACCAGGACCAGCCTGAGAACACTGACTACCGCTGGAGAAGACCGCAGGGCACGAAGAGGGTGAGGGTCGGCTTCCAGAGGCCACCATGGCAATCACGAGGGAGACAGAAGGGGCGCTTGGGCCCAGAGAGAAGCACAGCCAACTAGAAGTGCTCCTCCGGGACTGGCAGACCGCCCGGCTGTGGCCCGGGAGAGGAAAGCAGTGCCTCGGACATAACGGGACACATGGGTGAGTTCCGGGCTTCAGGGACAGATGGGGACTCCAGGGTTCCGTCTTGGGCACGTGGAGTTTGGGGTACGTCTTAGACACGTGCCGGAAGTGACTGGGCACGAGTCTGGGTTCAGGGGAGACACGGGTGGTGGCAGGGCTGAGCCTGTGTGGTCAGAGGCAGGGAAAGGACAAAGCAGTCCCAGAGGCTGAGCAGGAGCTGCCAGGAGGTGGGGGGGCAGAGGAGGAGGGGCCGTGCTGCCAGGAGGGGGGGGCAGAGAAGGAGGGGCCGTGCTGCCAGGAGGGGGGGGGGCAGAGAAGGAGTGGTTGTGCTGCCAGGAGGTGGGGGGGGCAGAGAAGGAGGGGCCCTGCTGCCAGGAGGTGGGGGGGGGAGGGGGCAGAGAAGGAGGGGCCGTGCTGCCAGGAGGTGGGGGGGAGGGGGCAGAGAAGGAGGGGCCGTCTGCCAGGAGGCGGGGGGGGGGGGCAGAGAAGGAGGGGCCGTGCTGCCGAGGGGGGGGGGCAGAGAAGGAGGGGCTGTGCTGCCAGGAGGGGGGGGGGGGCAGAGAAGGAGGGGCCGTGCTGCCGTGAGGAAACGGTCTAGGAGGGAAAGGACTGCCCGCCGGTGTGCTGGGGACAGGGCGAGACAGTGCGCGGGCTGACCGCTGGGCTCGGCGACGTGGAAGGGACCCCAGCTACACAGTCGCGAGGAAGACGCGGGGGGGCGGGGCAGAGACAGGTGACAGGAGAGCAGAACACAGCCGGTCCCCGCGGAAGTCTCTTAGAAGCCAGTCCCCGCGGAAGTCTCTTAGACTGGGCCCTGCGTGACAGCCGGGGCCACTGAGTGACGAGTGCGGGGTGCTGGGGAGGCACGGAACACTCCAGCAGGCTCAGGTACAGCCCGGGGCCGGTGTGATGTCACTCAGCGCCGTGCAGGAGCTCTGCAGGTGGGGGAGGGGTGACGTGGGCCGGGGCTGCGGCCGGCTGCACTTCAGCTTCAGGGCCACCGAAGCTCCTGCAGGGCTTTGGGCAGGGTGAGGCGACCACGTCTGTGCCGCGTCACCGGGCTGCCGAGGGGTGGCTGTGCAGGGAAGGCGGGCTGAGCATCCTCGAGAACTCTGCTCAGCTCCCGCCACGCTCCTTATCCACGGCGACTGCATCCTCGCTGGCCTATTTATAGCCCGTCCTCCTCGCCTTCCCTCCACACACCACCCTCACACCACCCTTCTGTCCCCTCCCTGTCCACTCCCAGGAACGGGCCCTTCACTGGGCAGCAGCAGGGCTCCCCCACAACTAGCTCACCCAAACTCGGTGCCTCCAATGATCCTCTGCTGCCCCAGCCCAACACCACAACTGACAGCCCGTTCGAGGCTGTGCCAAACCTGCCCCCTTCACCTTGCTCTCCTGCTCCACTTGGGCCCCTATCCCAACCTCCATGAGAACGGAAAGGATGGGCTCTGCGGTCATCCGTGCCCCCCGGTGGCCAGCGGCAATCCCAGGCAAACACTCCCGACGCAGCGTGCCCGGCATGCACTCCGCCCGCTCTCGGGCTATCTCCTCTGCTGGAAGGCCTGCTCCACAGCACCTCCCCTGCAGAGACCCTTGGCACACTCTGTCTGCAACTCTTCTCGTGTTTGTCTAGCTGTTCTGTCCCTGTGTGAGCTGCTTCCCAACCACATCTCCGAATCCGAATCCGAATCCGAGCTTCTGGAGAAGCAAGCGCTCATCTTCACAGTTCCCATGACGATGCCTGCCACGAGATAAGTCCCCAGTGAGCACTGATGGCTTGTTCTGGACAAGAAAAGAACTGGGACTTCCCAGATTTAACAGAGGTGCAAAGCGCCTGGGAATTCTGGCCAAAATGCGGCTCCTGATTCCGTCGGGCCTGGGTCTGGGAAGGCTGCGGATGCACAGGCCATGTCTGGAGGAGCGAGGGCCTCAGACAGGAGCAGATGCTGCAGGCTCTCTGGGACCCGCACCTGCACTTCCAGGGGACGGGCTTACCTCGGACGTCTCCAGGGACTGGATCTCCCTCGGCAGCTCCACGGCGTGCCTGTTGAAGTAGTCCATGGTGATGGCGTTGTTCCAGTAGCTCAGGTTGTTCTCGGGGTTGGCCGTCTTCTTCTTCCTCCTCATGCAGCACACGGTCAGCAGGACGGCTGTGGAGAGAGGCCGAGTCAGCAGACGGAAGGAGGGCGGCAGACCAGCTGTGCTAGTAACAGATGCCAGTCTCCAGGTCGGGCTGCAAAGGCCATGCGTTCATTCTCTGGCTCTTTCAGCTCACGTCTGTATATGCCGAGTGCCGACTCTGAGCCAGACACCCTTCCAGGTGTCAGGCAGATGTGAACAAAGGCCTAGGCCTCCCTGCTTTCATGAGCCTCTACCCTGGCACACACACGGAGGTTACAAAGGTGGAGACACGGTCAGACCATGTCCATACCATCACCAAGTGAGTAAATAAGGTCAATTCAGAGAGTGACAGCCTTCTGAAGAAAACGAAACAGGCGACATGAGGGAGGCGAGGAGGGGAGTTGGGGAGTCAACACCAAAAGTTGCCGAAGAGGCTGGAGTCCAGCAAGGGGTCAGTCATGTGCAGTGTGTTCCAGGTAGGAAGCACAGCATGTGCAGAGTGGATGGATAAGCTCAGAGTGTGTGGAGAGACAGACACAGGGCCAGGGGACAGTGGGCCAGGACACAGGCCAGAGTGGACTCAGGCTGCACCCACAGGGCAACGCTGGCACGTAATTCCGGCTCCGCCTTGGGACACTGCAGTGCTGTTCTCTAAGCAGGAAAGGCCTTACTCACCAGTGGGAGGCTCCCCAAGGCTCTGCTGCAGACCGCAGCACGAGCATTCTGAGTTGCAACCCTGGAAAGAAGAGAGCTCTCTGGTGTGTGTGTTGGGTGGGGGGGCTTGGCAGAAAGAGAGGCGGGCACAGTGCACTTTACACAGCACACCCGACTCCCACAGAGGCCATGAAGGCAGAGGCTCCCAGCGCAACGTCACAGGGCACGTCTCGGACCAGGCAAATGAGCTGCTCTGCCTACCATCCCCTAGGCCTCCAACCCAAGCTGCTGACTGATACACAAGACTTAGGACTGGGCCATGGCTCTGACCACGAGGTCAGCACTGTTAGGGTCTCCATTTTACAGACAGGAAACTGCGCCATGCCATTTATCTACTGGAAGCCAGCCTGGCTACAGAGAATGCACGCTTGGGGTCGCAAAGTCACAGCTCTCTCTGTATTACATCTGGTGGGTCACGTCTCTGAAAAATACACACTTCATGATTGTAATGGAGGCAAACGCCAGGCAGTGCCTGGCACACAACGTGCTTAACTCACTGGAGTTCTCTTCTTGCTCTCCCAGCCTCCCCCAGCAAGAGAATCTAGGGGGAAAAAGTGGGCCACATGACCACCGGGCGGCTCAAGGCCAAAGCGCCACCTGTGGTTCAGGACTTCCATTATTTCCGAGGTTGGAGCTTTCTTACAAGAAAGAAAAGCACAACACAGACTGATGGAGTCTCTATCCCAGTCCAGCATGTCAGCATCTATCTACCCCACCAGCAACTGTCTGAGGAAGGAGCTGTTACTCCTCCCGTTGACAGACAGGTAAAGGCTCGGGAGTCACCAACACTAATGCTGAACACACAGCAATTACTGCCGCGTGAAGCCGGGTCTCGGCGACCTTGCACTTGGTGCCCATTGAGCTACCTTGTCCTGGACACTGGAGGGAGCCCACGTTAGGGTTGTTGGAGGTGCTTCCTAACCCCACACAGGTGTCAGCCCAGTTCCCTCACCCATTTAGCCAAAGCGCTTCACTGCTCTGCTTTGCTGAAAGGCAACAACCCAGCCTGGCCCTTTAGAGGGGTGCAGGGGGTGCCCTCCCTTCCTCCCCGCTCTGCAGCAGGGCTGACCACTAGGCTTCCCCAGCAGTGTCTGTGGGGAAAGAGGCCAGCTGGCCTTTAGAGGGGTGCAGGGGTGCCCTCCTTCCTCCCGCTCTGCAGCAGGGCTGACCACTAGGCTTCCCGGCAGTGTCTGTGGGGAAGAGGCCAGCTGGCCTTTAGAGGGGTGCAGGGGTGCCCTCCTTCCTCCTGCTTTGCTGCAGGACTGACCACTAGGCTTCCCGGCAGTGTCTGTGGGGACGCAGCAATGGCTTGTCAGAGGTGTGACAAGCAGGGTCACTGACTTTCAGAAGGAGCCCTGGGCACTGTGTCCACATTTCCGGGAGGGGCTTGCCTGCAGGCGGGAAGGCCAGCTAAGCGGGTGGAAACAAAGCCCCGCAGGCCCCCAAGGACTCAGCCCTCTCAGGACCACAACTGCTCTTTCTCTGGCGTTTTCTGATCAGGCACTGCCAGCCCCCACAGCAGCAACATGAATGGTAACCACTAGTTATCTACCAGCTCCACGCAGATAATGTGACAGACTACACAAATCCTCTGACTGCTGCACGTCTGTGAGACGGCACTGAAACCCCACTGAGGTTGCCAGCTGCACGCAGCACGCCAGAGGGAGAGCCCAGCTGTGGTACCTCGGGGCTCACTATCACGCTGGCACCACGGCCATGCTGCCACGCCACAACGGCCATGGCGGGGTAGCGGTGCAGGGCACGATTCCTCGACTGGCTTGACAGACGCTTTCTTAGAACTGCCCCGAAGGTCCAAGCGATCCCCACCCCCAAGTCCCTTCAGATGGCAGGCCTGTGCTGTCACCTGGGGCTCTCCCCGCCTGCTCCATTCCCCCCAATTCTCTTGCAGCCTAACCCTGTTTTGGTGCTTACCTCTTGAAAGACTTGAACTAACCTAGTGGACAGTAGTCCCATTTTACAAACGAGTGAAGACTGGGTCAATGTTTAAGTAATGTAAGTCCCGGAGCCAATGAGTGGCAAGAGCTAGAACTGCACACACAGAGCTGGGCTCCCTGCCACAGCCAAGTCTGTCTAAGCACACTAGGCTTCCTCTGCGTGGCCCGTGCGAGTTAAAATCAGGGAGGTTGGAGAGGACAGGGATCTACGATGTACTTCAGTTTGGCCCCTTGGCCATGGACTACAGGAAACCAGGCTGGAGGGCTTAATGCTTGGCTCCCCAGCCTGGCAGGGTTACTGCCTACAGAACATGGGCCATAGGCCCACAACATCATTTGGTCCAGCCGTGTCAAGGCAACCCCAGGTGGGGCTTGGAATTCAATCAATCTGTAGCAGGCTAATTTTTAAGTTGATAATTTTGTATGGCATAAATATCCAAATGGCCCTTGGCAGATAAAAGGTTCCCCAATCCTGCTCAGGCTGGACGAGGTTCCCACCCTGTGGCGCTGGCTGAGAGGCACAGAGAAGCGCTGTCAGAGGGTGTAGCCACGGTGGCACTCCCTGGACGACTCTGCCTTGTCCATCAGCCCCAAGGAGACAAGTCCCCTGGCCACACTTCCATCTGGCTTCAACGTCCTCTACTTTTGCTGGCTAAAAGTTGTTCTGACCCAGGTTTTCTTCTGTAATTACTATAAAGTCACTGATGGCCTGTGAGTAAAATGGTTCACATGTAATTGAGAGCTAACACTCACTGGACAGCTACCATGACCAGCAATCTCTGGGCACCATCGAATGCTGCAATGATGCAGTGTCGCAAGAAGTCAGGCTGCTTGGGAGCAAGGGGCACGTGGACCCTCCCAGGGCCACAGAGAGGAGCTGTCCTGCTTCCGCCAGGCTCAACTCCGACTGGTGATCAAGAACACCAGCAGCCGGCCCAGCTTCCTGACGTCAGCCTCCGTAAAGCCTCGTCTTCTGGGCGAAGACGTTTTCAAGAAGGACGTGACACAGAGGCAAGGGAGCCTGCGGAAACCCAGAGCCTGTGACACCGTGAGCATGGCTGAAGCAGAGAGACAGTGAGCTCCCTGCGTCCTCACGGTGGCAGCAGAGACCAGCTCTGCTGAAGCGGAGCTGCCTGGAACCCCACCATCCCAGTTCTCAGCACGCCTGAACCACGTGGCTGGGCTCAGGAGACAGCGTTTCTCAGCCCTGGCACATTGACCCTTCCAGCCACCGGGCGGGCCTCGTGGTCTGGAAGGGGAGAACTGCAGCCACCCCTCCTCAGGCAGCCCTGGCCATCTGAACCCCGATTCTGGTGGCTGTGGAAGGCAGGGGCCAGGGCCAGAGCTGCTCTGAGCGAGCAAGGGAGTCTCTGCTTCTGTGCTGCTGCCAGCCCAGCTTCCTGAGACACCTGGGGAGCCAGCAGAGGACTTCAGCGCAATGCTCTTGGTCTGCCGGGCTTTAGGGTACACGGAGCCTCCAGGAGGGTCAGCAACTGAGGTCTGCCTGCCTGTTGACCAGATGGGGCTGGGCTGTGCAAGCAGCTAAGAGAGGCGGATATCTGCTGAGACAGCGCTACCTTAATGCCCATTTCATTGGGACCTTCACAAGGCTGATGAAGGGCCTACAGGTTTTGAGGCCATGGCCAAGGATATGGGACTAATGTGGAGGCAGCCAGGGCAGAGGCTGGGGCCTTGGGGAGCGAGGGTTTATAGACTCCTCCTGTGCAGGTGAGAGAAGCGCAGGACAGAACAAGCAGACGTGGGGGCTACAAGAGTTCTGTTTTCCTTGGGAAGCAGTGTGTGTTCAGTCCTTAGCACCTGAAGGCTCCTCCCCGCATGCTAGACGCTTCTCTGGGTACGGTTTCCCGCCTTCGCTGACAATTCCACAGACGGAACTGGCTTCCCAGCTTGGCGGCAAGATCTGATCTGTTCTCAAATCCATACCTAGCAGAAGGGCTAGGCAAGAAGTAAAAGTCATTTCAGAACTGCAAAATCCAGCTGGGTGTGCCCGCCGGAGTGAAGGCGAGGCCTGCCCTAGGGTCACCCAGCCCAGATGAAGAGCAGTGCTGGGAGCTGGGGAGTGAGCCACACGTCGACAGTGCCTGGCACACACTGCACACACTGGGCACTCAGGAAATTCGGCACTGAATCAACCAGATGTGGGACCCCCAGGTCTGGGCTGACTTACCGTGTGACCCCAGCAAGTCGCTCCCTATTGGATGCTGGCTGGAGCTACCCTTTAGCATCTTAGCAGTGTTTGCTTGTTTCTGTTTTTATTTTACTTAACTGGATGCAATAATAATAAAAAAGAACTCACTTGATAAATTAGAACATTCCAGATACATGTAAGGAACGGAAAATTGGAAAGCTGTCTCTCATGCAGCTACTTCTCAAATAGGATCATTACTAATAATTTACTGGCTAACAATGCTACATTTTCTCATTATCATTCTCCTGCTTCAGAAGTGGGCAACCACAGTCCTAAGAATACATGTGTTTCCATGACAGACAATTAAGCAGCTTTCATCAAGAATGAAATCGGCAATTTGCAGACATTTTCCCTTTTTCTGAATCACATCCTTGAGCAGCCGTAGGCTGCCCACTGCAGACAGGAACGCTTGTTTGCTTCCCAACCTGAAGGAAGCAGAAGCTCAGAGAGGCGCCTCCTGGGAAGAAAGCAGACTCCGGGTTTAAAGTGGCAATCACGGCTCAGGTGAAAGGCTCAGACTCCCTGCATTAGAGACCACGGGACAAGGAGAGCTGGGAGATCTGCAGTCACAGAAGCCCCAAGGGGCTTCATTCCCTGGAGATGAGGGTGAGCCTGTGCTGGGATCTGACGCTGGCGCAGCAGACCTGACGCCAGCACGGGCCGTGAGAATGAGGCTGAGTGTCCGCCATCAGCTCCCTCAGCCACGGCTGGGCACAGGTGGAATGCAGCGTTCCCACGCTGCGGAGCAGGGAGAAGGTGGAGGCGATTTGTGGGAGTGGGTAGACCTAGGGCAGAGCACCCTGTGCAGATGACTTGGACAAGCAGAAACCACCCTGGAGAGCCATTTCAATGCTTCAGGGATTATGCGATGGACTTGTGTGGTTTCAGAAAGCTACAAAGGAGAACTTACAAGGACACAAACTTTGGGCCTGAAAGAACTAGGTCACAACATGAGCTCCAGAGAGAATAGGCTGGGGCTGGTGCTGTGGCGCAGCAGGTTAAAGCCCCAGCCTGCAGTGCCAGCATCCCATATGGGCGCCAGTTTGAGTCCCAGCTGCTCCAGTTCCAATCCAGCTCTCTGCTGTGGCCTGGGAAAGCAGTAGAAGATGCCCAAGTGTTTGGGCCTCTGCACTCGGGTGGGAGACCTAGCCCCTGGCTCTGGATTGGACCAGCTCTGGCCATTGTGGCCATATGGGGAGTGAACTAGCAGATAGAAGACCTCTCTCTCTCTCTTGCCTCTCTGTAACTCTGCCTTTAAAATAAATAACAAATTAAAATTAAAAAAAAAAAGAGAGAGAGAGAGAGAGAATGGGCTGTCCAAGGAGCAAGGAGTTCAGGGTAGGGGTAGAGGATGTGGTTCACAGGGTGGCTTGATGGTAACTATTTGGGTGTGGAGCCGAGGAGAGTGAGGGTTCTGAAAGGTTATAAAAAAATAAGAATTAAAGACCAAGAACACAGGGAAGACATAAAAGAAGACTAAGAGATTAAACCAGACTCTTTATGGACACACCAGGGAGAACACCTCTAGACTCTTCATTCACAAAGCAACCATCTTGCAACGAGGTGCTGGTGGCCTTGTGAGAGCAAAACCCAATGCTGAGGCCCACTGCATCCAGCTCACGCCACCTATAAACAAACAAAACAGGTGTGGGGGTGCAGAGTGGTACAATGCACAGAACCTTCAAGTCTTTTTTTTTTTTTTCTGACAGGCAGAGTGGACAGTGAGAGAGAGAGAGAGACAGAGAAAAAGGTCTTCCTTTGCCGTTGGTTCACCCTCCAATGGCCGCCGTGGCTGGTGCGCTGCGGCCGGCGCACCGCGCTGATCCGATGGCAGGAGCCAGGAGCCAGGTGCTTCTCCTGGTCTCCCATGGGGTGCAGGGCCCAAGCACCTGGGCCATCCTCCACTGCACTCCTGGGCCACAGCAGAGAGCTGGCCTGGAAGAGGGGCAACCGGGACAGAATCCGGCGCCCCGACCGGGACTAGAACCCGGTGTGCCGGCGCCGCTAGGCGGAGGATTAGCCTAGTGAGCCGCGGCGCCGGCCAGAACCTTCAAGTCTTAATTTAACTGCAGGAATTATGTTTTTGCCAAGGCTAAGAGAACTTACCACCAGATGAAAGCTTGATCAAATAAATAACAAATTAAAATAAAAAAAAAAAAAGGGAAAGAGAGAGAATGGGCTGTCCAAGGAGCAAGGAGTTCAGGGTAGGGGTAGAGGATGTGGTTCACGGGGTGGACACAGAGAAAGGAAGAGGAGATTTGAGGGAGGAGAGGAGAGAAAAGACAAGAAGGAAGAGGGAGAAGGGGGAGAGCCAGGGGAGGGCTTTGCTGGTCGGGGGCGGCAAATCTGGAAGCAGACCTCTGACCTCTGGTGTCTCGGCACAGTGCAGGCAGTGCAGGCTGCTCCTGAGGGGAGTGTGGCAAGGTGGTGGCAAGAAGAGTGCCCTGCTAACAGACGTGTGCTCTGAGCTCCTACCCGGCCCTGCCTCCCACAGACTCTGGGGTCCCGAGGGAGCCAGGCCACTGCTCTAGCATCATGTGCTTTCTGCAAAGTGCAGGGTGGGATCAGACTTGGGAGCTGTGGCTGGATGACCAAGGGCATCTGAGCGAAGGTCTGGCCCCAGCAAGGGCTAGGGCTCGGGACCACTGAGGTCTCTGTCCTGCTGACCTTGCCTCCCGGGATGAGCTCAGTGAGGGGTCAGAGCTTGTTGCTGTGGCTGAGGCGGACGGGGGAGGACCGGCATGGGGGAGGACATGGCACTTACAGCAGGAAGATATGGGCACGCTGATGGCCAGGATCACCCAGGCGATGTCCATCTTGCTCAGGCAGATGGTGGCTCTGTGCTGGGGCTTGTCCCCTTCGGCCACATGTGAGATGTTCCCTGCGGTTCCAGGTTTCCAGGTCCCGGCGGGGACCAGGTGGTTGAGGAAGTTCCCTGTGGCTGTGGACACCACCGTGGAGAAAGGGCTGGATCCCCTGTTGGCCGCGGAGGGGGTGGCTGCAGCTTCCTCCTCAACTTGAGAAACAGTGCTTGCTGGGACCCCAGGGGGACGAGCTGGTGCCTGTGGGGTTGTGGACGCTCCCTGAGGAACCCCCTGGGAAGGGGCTGAGACACTGGCATGAAAGGCAGCCTGGGTGGGTCCTGTGGTGGCTGTGAAGAGCCCAGAGCTGGCAGACAGGGGTCTGTTGGTGCCAGGGGTGACAGTAAGCCAAGAGTCACTGCGGCTGAGGCTGTCCTGCATGTCACCACGGGGTTGATGAGAAGGCACTGGGGCAGGCTGCGGGTGGGCTGGGGCACCTGAGGCTGCTGTGGTGTCCGGCTCCACTCCTTGGCCAGTGAAGGGGGACCCAGGCCCCTGGTCTGCCCTGCTGAGGTCTGGCTTGTCCTCTGCAGGCATCAGGGGGTGGGTGGCTGGGGGCCACAAGGTACTGTTGGGTGCTGTGGTTGCAGCCACTGTCTGGGACTGCGGAGAAGAGGAATAGCCCCAGAGCGGGGTCCCTGGGGTGAGGGAAGAGGCGTCTGGTTCCACAGATCCCGTGAAGTTGCCTTTGTAGATCTGAAAGATCTTCCCCAGGGGCCGCTTCTGTCCCAGGTGTGTGGAGCTCTGGTTTCGTCCCCGCTGCCCTTCCTTCCTCCCAGAGTGGCTGCCAGATGCAGGAGGCACAGGGCGTGATGAGCTACCAGCCCCCCTGCGGGAAGAGCCGGGGGGCCTAGGGGGCCTACGGGTGGTAGCCCGGGGGGCCACTGTGCTGGGGTAGCTGGTGGCTCCTCCTGCTGGCTTTGTTGGCAGGATGGTAGGGTCAGCATTCCCCGGGGGACGGCCCTCTGAGAGGGAGGAGGTGGTGGTTGTCATGGCAGCTGGAGGGGGTCCCGTGGGCAGGGCGCCTTCCGAATGGAGGGTGGTCACTGTTGTCACAATGGCCGACGCGGTGCTTGCTGAAGGGTGCTGGTCTGGATGGGGCGTCGTTGTTGCCATGGGAGATGCAGCCTGAGAGGAGGGGTCGCTGGGCTGGGGTTTCAAGGTCACCATGGAGGGGTGTCTAGCAGAGCTATGCAGTGTTGTCACCACGGTGCCTGATGGGAGGGCTTGCAGAGATTCCCTGGGAGACGGTTCCTGGACAGCGGACACCAGTGCTTCAGTCAGTGCCAAGATCAGGAGGACGCCTTGAGAGGAGACAGAGAGAAGAGGTCAAGCACTGGGAGCAGCTTGTCGGTGGAGCCTTCCTTACCTGTGGCCCGGGAAACCCTGGACGCTCAGGGGAGACCCCGGGAGCCTTCCTACGGCCAGGCCGCTGCTCGCACTCCACTGGGATGGGTGAGACCTCTTCGGTTGTCATCACTTAGCACCTGCTGGGAAGGAGACCTGCACCTCGGCCAGTCCCATCCTGCCCCAGTGCCCTGAATGGCATCAGCCCTTTACCCTGGGCGGCCTCTCAGACGGCTGGGGCTGGCGTCGGGGAGCAGGTTGTGGCCTTCACACCTACGTCCTCCTCTGCAGCAAGGCAGCATCCAAGGCCAGCCAGGCACAGGGGAGCTGGCAGCTCTGTGTGAGCCACACAGGGCAGGATGAGGACGAGCTGGGAGGGCAGAACCCTGGACAGACCTCTCTTCGTTCAGGCCCACTCAGCAAACAATCCCCTCCACCCCGGAGGATTTTGCACTCATCCACCAACAACCCCAAAACAAGGCAACCCTAAAATAAGATACCTCAGTGGCCCAGGACAGTGACAGGCAGAAGGGGGCACAGAGCAGGGTGACCACACTGGGTGCCCACAAAGCATTCAGTGCAGAGTCTGGAATAAAGATGGGCTCTTTAAGTGCCTGCTGATCTTATGTTTTTATGCTGTCATTAACCGCTTTCCTTATGGCACTCACGTGGCTGCACTCTTGAATCATTTCCATCGGTGATTTTTTGAGTCTTTTAAGCAGGAGGAGTCCTTTTAAATGTTAAAAACAAAAACCATGCATTTCTGCATGATACTCAATTGTGTAGACTTTTAATGAGAAGATGATTAAAGACAAAAACCTATACACTTAAAAACATTTCTAAACCTGTGGTTTCCATTAATCACAGCAGAGTATGCCAGTATTTAAAAATAATGCCTCAGATAACACGAGGAGAAGGATCTATCCAGGATTATAGATTACAAAACTGGCTGTCACAACACATGGGTTAGGAACTACTGCTCTCTACTGCTGCAGAGTGGCCGGGCAGCCCTCCAGGCCTTGACCTGGACATGTTAACTGCTCGTTGTTCACAGTAACCTCCTCCTGATCACTCAGGCCTCTCCTGCAGCCCTGCTCACCATGCAGACTATGGCCAGAGATCCGTCTCCACTAACTCCTTCAGAGCCTGCCTTCCCCGCAGACTCCAAGAGGACACACAGCTGACGCAGGGCTCTGAGCTGTGATTCCCAGGTGAGGCAGGAAGGGTCCTGGCAAACTAGGGAGCAGGTAGGGGGAGGAAATTCCCAGCATGCCTTTGACCCAAAGCCTAGGATGGTGCTTCAGCAGGCGGTGCAGCCCTGGAGTACCTGCGCACAGTAAGGTTTTTGTTACTATTAGTTGCATTTCCTGTGGCACTCTCGTGGCTGAACTCTCTGGGGGAAAATCTCTATTGGTGACACCAAGTCTCTCTGAGTAGAAGGAGCCCTTATGAATGCTGAAAACAGAAAGCACAGAGTACCTAAGGTAATCTATAGAAATGAAATTGACACTCTAAGATGTGATGATTTTATGAGCAGAGAGCTGGATCAGAAATGGAGCAGTCACAGCCGGCGCCGCAGCTCACTTGGCTAATCCTCTGCCTGTGGCACCGGCACCCCGGGTTCTAGTCCCGGTTGGGGCGCCGGGTTCTGTCCCAGTTGCTCCTCTTCCTGTCCAGCTCTCTGGTGTGGCCTGGGAAGGCAGTGGAGGATGGCCCAAGTGCTTGGGCCCCTGCACCTGTATGGGAGACCAGGAGGAAGCACCTGGCTCCTGGCTTCCGATTGGCACAGTGCGCTGGCCATAGTGGCCATTTGGGGAGTGAACCAACGGAAAGGAAGACCTTCCTCTCTGTTTCTCTCTCTCTCTCACTGTCTAACTCTGCCTGTCAAGCAGTCAGGACTTTGAACCAGGGCTCATGTGGGATGACTGTAGGAGGCAGTGACTTCACCCACTGCGCCACAACACTAACCTAGGACATTCTTTTTTTTATTTGTGTTTAATATGTTTAAATGCTTTTTGAAATGTTTTACATTTCATCATCCACTTCAAAATGATAAACCCCTTGAGAGAAAAAGCCATGTCTGTTTGCTTTATCTCTTGTATCTTAACATAGGATATATATTTTTTTAAAAAAAGAAAACTTGCTATTATAATCAATATAACTATGGCTATTAATAAAAACTCTCTACATTTCTTTAGTAAAAAAAAAAAGATGTGATGATTTTAAACAGCCCTGTCTCGACTGTTGAGGGACAATTTTTTTCATACTATTTTTTGAATCCTTTACTTAGTGTAGGGTTAATCTTCTGTGTATAAAGTTAATTGAAAATAGATCTTTGTAAAAAATAAGAAGGGAATAGGAGAGGGAGGAGGAAGAAGGGTGGAAGTGTGGGCGGGTAGGGTGGTGTGGGAAGAATCACTATGTTCCTAAATTTGTATATATGAAATGCATGAAGTTTGTATACCTTAAATAACAGGTGTCTAGGTTAAAAAAAAGAGCTTATAAACAGAAAACATGGATTTTGCATGACAGTCATTTACTGAGAAAATGCGTAAGGACACAAACCTATAGATTTAGAAGTACTTCTATGTATGTGTCCCTCTCACCTCACCCTTCTATGTTAGTGGGTGGTAGAGGCAGAGGGGCTTTGGACTGAGCAGAGGCTGTGCAGCCCCCAAATCTAGGACCGATGATTTGCCCCAAACAGCATATTTTCTCAACTGTCACCAATGATCTAGACCATACACCAACAGTGCACTGTGCATGCTAGAGCCAGGCTCACTTTACCTCACAAAGACTGGATGGGATAGGAAACTGAGGCTCAGGGAGATGATGTAAGATGTGCAAAGCCACAAAGTGCAAAAGTATGTGGATCCAGGGCTGTGTCTAAAATGCACACACTTCCCGCCAACCACACCAACGATGCGGATGGACGAGGGGACGGTGCTCTGCACCCACAGAGGAAAGCAAGTGCGCTGTGCTCTGCTGGTGCAGGGTTACTTCCCACCACCCTGTGACAACCTATTCCTAGCGCTGGAGCCGGTCTCTGAGGGTTTGAGGGACACGCCCTCCCAAGTCTCAGTTGGGCCCACAAGTTCTTGGTTCAATAAGAGGGTTGTTAACACTGAATTGTGTCCTCCCTCCTCCCCCAAATTCCTATGTTAACCCCTTAACCTCTAATACCTCAGCATGGAACTGCACTGGAAGACAGGGCCTTTCTGAAACAGGGCAATTAGGGTAATGGGCTGCCAGGGTGGGCCCTAGTCCAGTCTGACTGGGAGCCCCTCTAGGAAGAGCAGATTAGGCAGACACACCAGGGGCCTGTGTGCAGAGACAGTGCCTAGTTCCGACAGCCCTGGAAGATTACCATGAGGGTGTTCCACTGGAGATCCCTGGAAAAGGAGACTGAGACTCACAAGCGATGTGAGGGTTGGCCATGGGCTGGATCCGGGAAAACCGATGTGAAGACAGGTTACGAACTCACTGGGGAGCTCACCGAGCACTCAGGAGTGGGCAGGCTAAGGGACAATATGGTTCACAAGAATGTCACCCCACTACGTGGGAGATCCACTCACAGTCTCTCTCTCTCTAGCCACCTGCAAAACCGATTGCAAAACTAGATAAAAGTCTCTACTGAGGTTGGTCTCCATCTCCTTTTTCCATCTCTCATTTCTGGGGGTACAAAAGGCCAGAACCCTGAGCTATTCCAAAGCTAACACAGGCTGTATCAAGGAGCCAGCTGTGAGGAGCACTTACCCAGAGGCTTCTGTCCCCACTGGGCAAGGCTGCTCCCAGCTGCTTGGAATTCTCTTGTACTTCTCTGTACGGCTGAGTCAGAGAAGCTCTGGCCCTGGGAGCCGTCAGGTTGCACTGAGTCCAGCTGTTGCCTGTGCCACAGCTAGAGGACTACTGGGGTGGAGTACCAGATGTATCCCATACCGCTGGAGACCAGGGTCTGAGGAAAGCAGTGTCAAGGTTAGCACACCTTAGCATACAGGTTAGAGATACCTGCCTTGGGATAGGGGCCGCCCTGGCCCCCCAGTTAGTGCGGGAACCCCAGAGGTGGAGGGTAAGATGTGCAAAGCCACAAAGTGCAAAGTATGTGGATCCAGGGCTGTGTCTAGAATGCACACACTTCCCGCCAACCACACCAACGATGCGGATGGACACAGGGCTAAAACCCGCCCAACCAGGAAGCCTGTGGTAGAGCCCTTGCTTAGGACTGACAGTTCAAGTAAGTTGGTCTCTGTTGCTGCTGTTTTGTTGTCCTTGCTAGCACCCCCTGAAGTTATTTTCTTCTCAAGAACTGTAAGATTACCCCCTCATTCTCTTTACTTTGGAATAACCCTCTGTCTGGTCTACTGAATGGGTGCCACCATCCTGGGTGCCAGGGCTTTCCCCTGGAGCTGACACTTAGATGTCCCAGAGAAGCCCCAGCATTCACCTAACCCCATCCCTTCCTTTCAAACAAGGGGCAACAGCAGTGAAGTGACCTGTGCGAGAATGCACAGCCTGCGCCGCAGTCATTATTCCAAAGCAATTTTTCCTCTGTAACTTAAAAATCACAATGCAGCACGGCCCAAATACCTCCTTAACCTCCACCATCACCTTCCACATGGCAATCAGACAAGTTTACCGCTCCTCTTTGGCACAAAAGGTTAACAACTGAGCGTGATGCGTGCTGTCACAACAAAAGTACAAGGCCTTCAACCCAGGCCTCCCCTAACACATGCAGATTTTCATTCAAGGCCCTTTGTGCTGGCCTATACAGTCCCCTCCCCACAATCTGGGGCTATGGCTTCTATGCATATATTTGCACAGATTTGCATAATGGACCCTAGAAGCTCTAATTCCAACTATGTAAGAGAAACTAAGACTAAAATCTAGCTTAATGCACTTGAAACAGGAAACCAATCTTTAAAACATGTTGGGATAAGGATGGAGGGGGTGCCACAGA